AAAGAGGGAAGGAGCTCAATACCCCAAGCAATAGGGTTGGCACTGTTGTTACCAAAGTGATGATAACCACACGATTGATAAATATTTGAGTGTACTGAGGGAGAGTGACTATTTTACTTGCTAATATTAACTAAGTTCTAGCACTTTTTGTACTTGTAGTTGCTTGGTGGGAGAGGTTCTATCAACACTTAAATAAAAGTTGGAAACAAGAACCTTGCAATACTGTACCTCAAATTACCAAGCTCGTATTACAGACTGTGAAGCTTGTGTCTCTGCGTAGGAGAATAGCTGATGAATCAATTTTCAAAAGAAACACTGAATACAGTAACTCCTCGCTTACTGTTGTAGTTCTGTTCCTGAAAAATGCGACTTTAAGCGAAACGATGTTAAGTGAATCCGATTTCCCCATAAGAATTAATGTAAATGGGCGGGGGGGGGTTAGGTTCCAGGGAAATTTTTTTCACCAGACAAAAAACTATATATTGTATAGATATACGCACAGTATACGTTTTAAACAAACACCTTAATACTGTTCACAGCTATGATGATTGTGAAGCTTGGTTGAGGTGGTGAAGTTAGAGGGTGGAAGAGGGAGGGATATTTCCCAGGGTATGCCTTGCTGCTAAATGATGAACTAGCACTCGGCTGAGCCCTCAAGGGTTAACACATTGTTGTTAATGTAGCCTCTCACACAAGGCAGCACAGACACGATGGAGGGGAGACAGCATAGCAGACAGAGACAGACACACACCTTGTGTGTGGGAGAGAGAGATGCACACTGCCCCTTTAAGTACACTGACCCACTCTTAAGTGCATTGTCTTTTTAAGTGGATCAGGAAGTTGACAGCAGCTGCTGCCGCAAGCTCTCTCTGTCTCTCTCCGTCTGTGTCCCCTCCCTGCTCTATATGGGGAAGGGGTAAGTGGGGTGCAGGAGCAGGGGGGAGGGGGACACCCTGACATTATCCCCCTTTCCCCCCCCTGCACAGCAAGCAGGAGTCTCTGGGAGCAGCTCCAAAGCAGAGGGCAGGAGCAGCACATGGCAGTAGAGGGAGGGACAGCTGAATTGCCGATTGATAGCCTGCTGGGTGGCTGCTGCACAGGGAACTTAGGGGAGCGGGGAGCTGATAGGGGGGCTGCCGGTCCACCCTGGTTACAAGCCCCCACTAGCTAGCTGCAACGGGCTGCTCTTCCTACAAGCTGTGGACAAAGCAGGCGGCTGCCAAACGACATTTGAAGGGAGCATTGCACAACTTAAACAAGCATGTGCCCTAATCGATCAGCAACGTAACAACGAAACAACGTTAACCAGAACGACTTTAAGTGAGTTACTGTACTTGGCCCAAGTCCTTATGCAGTTTTTATTCAGTCCTATTCCCGTTGACTTTATTAAGTAAGAACTTCAGGATCTGACCCACTGTGAAGCTATTTAATTCAGTATATGAACACATATATATTGAAGGTGACACCTTCGGTGTGAAAAGGACATGTTGAGGAATGAAATTTGCACCAATTTAGGCAATAATGTAGGCAGTAGCTTTGAAAATGTACACTTGGGCAATGGGGAAGACCGGAGGAAGTTTGTCTCCCCTCGGACTCAAAACTGTAAGGGGCCGAGTACCCTAGGGTGACCAGACATCCCGATTTTATCGGGACTGTCCCGATATTTCCTTGTTTGTCCCGCGTCCCGACCGACATGCGGTCGGGACACTGGACAAACAAGGAAATGCCCCGGAGCCTAGAGCCCGGAAGTGCTCGCACCCCCGCCCCCGGCCCCGACTCCGCCCCCTCCTCCCCCGATTGGCTCCCTCCCCGAATCCCCGCCTCTTCCCCGGGCTCACCATTCCCCCTCCCTCCACAAGCGCTGGAGGGAGGCCTGGGAGACGCAGGGGAAGCGCGGGGCCGGGGTGAGTAACAGTCCGGCCTGGCCCCTTGCAGGCAGGACTCAGTTGGGCGGTAGGGAGAGGAGGGGGGCGAACCGCGGGGCCAGGCGGCGGCTGTTGTTGTCCCCCCGGGCAGCGGGACTCGGGAGCAGCCGCTGCTGCAGCTCCCACTGCCGCGGGGGAGGAAGCGGCCATGGCCGCTTCC